TAAGCTTTTCTGAGGTTTTGAAAAGCCTTGGTGCAGGTAGCTAGAGCATCCACAGTCATCAGTTTAATAACCCTTTTAAATGTTTCCACAAAGTGAGAAAATGAAACAAAACACTTGCTACATTCATGTCTCGGATATTGTTGTGGTTAACAATTTCCCAAGTATTCTGTAACACCCTGTAGAACAGAAAGTTATAAATTAATATGGCAAATGCTTTAAAAGTGTAACCTTGCTGCTGATTCCTAATAAAAGCTGAAGGCAACATAAATATTCTCAAACTGCTGAAGGTCATAGTTCTATACGTAATTTGAATAGTAGTAGTTGGGTAAAAAGTGTTCCATGGTACCTGATGTACCTGTATTTCTCATTTAAACATCTATTGTTTTGTACAACCATAACCTTCAACATTTTTTATTTTGAATTTGTGTAATTGGCCAAGACTAAGCTGTGCTTAATTTTGAATTAAAGGATAACCATACTTAAATTTTTAAAACTTTTTCAGTAATAATAGATAGATTTTATATAGATAGATTTTATTTGTTTATAGATGTTGGAGATCGGCCTGTTTTCCGGTGTGGTCCTGTTTCTCTGACCGTGACTGAGTGGATGTGCTCTCTTCGTCCTCTGGCATGGGAGCTGCCTTGGAGCTCGTCTGCCTGCCTGTGTGTTTCCTGGACGGGGCCGCCTTCTACAGCTGCTTTTTGTATCTCTGCTTCTGTCTCCTTGAACCCCAGTCGGCCTTGGCAGATGGACGCTCACACTGAGCCTGGTTCTGCTGGAGGTTTCTTCCTGTTAAAAGGGAGTTTTTCCTCTCCACTGTCGCTACAAGCATGCTTAGTGTGAGGGATTGTATTTGAGTCAATGAGTCAATGCAATCAACTGGTTTTCCTTAGATAGAAAACTTTGTATCAATTTGACTGTATGATCTGGTTGAACTGTAAAGTGCTTTAAGAGGACATGTGTTGTGAATTGGAGCTATGTAAATAAACTGAATTGAATTGAATTTCAATTACAATTGTTCTTTTAACCCTGGCTTACCCTTAAACTTCAAAGTAAAATCTGAAGTTTTCTTTCTAAAACAACACATTTATTTATTATATTTTTAGATGTTTGTGTCAAATTTAATGTCACTTTAGAATACAGGTGTGTGGACACCCCAGCCGTTTGAAACTGAATTATAGTGAACAAAGATCTAAAGGATCACTGAGCAAGGTCAAGAATAAAGTTCCCAGTTCTACTATCAAACTGTCCATTCCAATGCTTTGAACAACGCATAGGGCAATGTTGAATCCACATTATGAAAACAATAATAAATTGGTACAAGTGTTAACCTGACAAGATGTTTATCTAAACTGATCTTCTTACCGCCCTGCGATAGACTGGTGACCTGCCCAGGGTGTACTCCTACATTGACGGCTGGAGATGGGCACCAGCACCCCTCGAGACCCCAGCAGTGATGAAAAATGGATGGATGGATGGATCTTCTTATCTAAACAAGAAGATCAGCTGAGAAGTGACCAAAACGGTCATGCTGACTCTGGAGAAGCTATCAAGACCTGCAGCCAAGTTAGGACAAACTGTTGAGCACCCCAAAATTTACTGAGCAATAGGCATTAGTGTGCCTATATAATGTTGACCCTACAATTAAAAGTCAGTTCAGACACCATTTGGCAGAAAGAGCAGACAAAGCCATCTTTCATCCATCTACCTACTGTAAAACATGGTTCTGACACCACCATTATTGAATCATAAAATATTATTTGTAATAGGATACCATATTAAAGTAAAAGAAATGTGGGATTTAAAAAATAAACTTTTCCCTGGTTAACCGTGAAAGAAAGGACTATCCCACCTTAGCTCACAGGTCAGAAAAAACGCTGCCATTTTCATATTAATCATGAAAAGCTTTGAATATCTTATCGCTACGCTAAATAGATAGATCCCTGGCATCTGGTTAGGATGCCTCCTGGACGTCTCCCTGGTGAGGCGTTCTGGGCATGTCCCACTGGAAGGAGGCCCAGGGGGAGACCCAGAACACGCTGGAGGGACTATGCTTCTCGGGTGGCATGGGAGTGCTGGAGGAGCTGGCCCAAGTGGCTAAAGAGAGGGACGCCTGGGTCTCCCTGCTGAAGCTGCTACCCCCGCAACCCGATAAACAACCCAGATAAACAGAAGAAGATGGATGGATAAAAATATACAGCTTTTTTTTTTCTTTTTTTAGCTTTACTGCAGGTTTTTTATGCTAATTAGGCTCTATATGAACTCCAAACCTGTTACTATCAAATTCATTATTTGTTACAAATTAGCCAATGTGATTGTTCTGCTGCTATGGCTCAAACAGCATGACCAACTGGTCCAAAGAGCCTAATCAGCTGAGGGGGCCAGTCATCTATCATTCCTTGGTCCCCCTTCTGCCATTTACAAACCTCCTGTGGCACCACTGGGTTTCCACACCCACGACTGGCAGAACCTGGTTCCTATTTCACTGCCTTTAGGAATCACCTTAAAGCCTGTTCCACCTCCACCATGCTCTCCTGATCTAACATCTTAAAAAACTAATTGGGTAACTAACAAACACCCTTTCTGTAAATCTTCATGTGCAGGTCTGTATGACATAAGCCTAAACCACAGTATTCCCTCTTAATACCATTTTTTTAAATAGTTTTTTTAAACTTAGCTTGAACTTTCCATTTCTTCTTACCCCTCTCAATGAAGTGTTTTGGCTTTAACACTTTGTCATGTATTCATTGTGCCAATGCACAACAGCACACATATTTTCAAAAATGTTATGGTCATTGGTCAAAACACTTATAAACTACACTGTAAGACACACAAAGTACAACAAGACAACAGGGCACCATAAATAAATAAAAATCGGACACCTTTAACAGTCGTGTGTGTATAGAGTAATTACTGTACACCAATTATGCATTTTGTCTAAATTAAAATGCTCTCTAAATGCAGACATAATTTTACTAACGAGCTCTGTTTTTCACTTTTTTTAGTGTAGACAATGTGTGAGCAGTCCAAAGTCTTGATTTCAGCCCACTAGGGATTGTTCTGTTTCTTCATCTTTTCCTTGTTCTCCCCTGAAGATGTCACTCCTCCTCCCCCTCCTGCTTGATCTTGACCCCCCTCTACTCGGTGGACCCCTCTATCTCAGATGGAGAGAAGAGCACAGACCTTCCACTCTCACTGAAAAATTGCACAGAGCAGCAGACAAAACAAACAAGATTTCCTCTAAGCTCTGGCAGCTCCCTGCCATTAGTGCTCTGTCTGTGTGGACCTGCCTGTCTGAGGAAACTGATCTTATCATGAGAATCCTCAGGAGAGACAGAAACATATTAGGAGTGGAAATGTTTCCCAGCCACATTTGGAAATTTAATATAGATGGACTGTTGAGGAGACAAAACACAGCAAACCTTTGGCTGTAGTGGGAAGGTGTAAGCCATTTGCTCAACTAAAGAGTCATTATTAATACAGATGACTTATAAGGCACTCTTGACCACTTTTTTAATTATTCCATAGGTTCACAAGTTAAACAGAACCTTATTTAGTTTTTAAATCCAGACTTTTCACAATAATTTATTTTCAATGGGACGTTTTCTTTGAAAGATAGTTCTATAGATTTGTGGTTGTAGGCTATAAACACCTTACCTACAGTAGTTAACCCTCTATAGCATCTTCATGTGGTTGTTTATTCAAATTGGTTAGAATGAAGCTAACATTTTAATGTGGGATAGGCAAAAACAAGTAGCCTGTTAACATGAGTTTTATAAAACCTTAAAACAATATCACTTTCACATTGGACCGTTAATTATAAAGAAGCTTACGATTACTTAAACAGAAAATGGGTGGAGGTGCAACACCTACTGTATGATCTTCTTCAGTGAAACATGTGTTAAGAGAGCAAATTTAAAATTAGCATTTTAAGATCAGCTGATTCGTATTGATTAATAAACAAGTGTGGGTCCTAGGAATATGGCATTAATGATAATCTTCTTTCTTATGGATGAGATCTTGTTACTTTGGTTTTAAGTTTAAAAAAGTGTGATCCAAAAAGTGTATGTATATATATATATATATATATATATATATATATATATATATATATATATATACACACACACATACATACATACATATATTCATAGATAAATTAATTATAGATGAACACTTTTTTGTTAGGTTATTTAATGGTCGAATATTTTTTATAAAGAAAATACTTTTCAACGGAAAATGTTTCAAAGACTTTGTTGTTATTGATGCGAGAACATCAATTATGTCATATATTTTTCTCAAATTGTTCTTTGGATCTTTGTACTGAAATCACTATTTGATGTTTTAATGAAGAAAATATTTTCCCCAAAAAAGTTATTAAGATTCAGTTGGAAATCCTCCTGTCCTTGTTTGATGTTCATTTACTGCCAAAGTGCATCATATTGTGTTTCAGCTGAATAGAAAAATGATTCAGCAGATCTGAGTCATGAATCAAATTGAATCTAATCGGTGCTTACCGCTCATGTAACTCTAATTTATTGGATTGTTGACAGTGCATTGAGATCTGTTGTATTGGCTTTGCCTGCAAATGTTTCAAATGTTCCATTCAGTATGTTTCACACAGGGAGGTGTTTTTTTTTTAAAACCTTTATCTTATGTGCAAAAACCTTCCTTGCATAATTTGCAGATGGTTCAAAGGTTTGTAAAATAGCAGGCTGATGATACCTTTAAAAGTCGTTTTAAGCCATCAGACATCCTCTTTGGTCTTAAATGGACAAAATAGTCTGGAATTACCACTAAATGTAAAAAATGTGTACAGCATCTAGTTTCTGCATACAGCCTTACATCAGAACATCATTTTACAACCTTTGAACTAACCCTGTAACCATTAAGTCCCATTTTCTTCAACAGTTATCATTAGATATAATTTATATTCTTGCTCCATCAGAGTGAGTAATGCATTTGACAACAAACACACAACATAAACTTGACACGACCTCTGAAGCAGTACGAACATATTTCCTCTTTTATTTACATTCCTTTTCAAATGTTAACATTTTTCGCTATAACTTCTGGTCAGGTTGGCATTTTTTTTTTTTTACCTCATAAAATAAATTGGCACAAGTAAAACATATGTAGACAAAAGTTTATTTACACCGTACAACATTTTTTTAAATATTTTATACAGAGCTGCAGATGAGAGAGCTTGCTGGGATCCTTCAAGCAGATTCTGCAGTATTAAAGTTGTGAAATATATTATTTATATAAAAGTGAGTATTATCTTTATTGCATTTAAAGCAATGAAGAATGTAGCTTGACAAACATTCATTTTAATATGACAGAAAAATCCTCTTTGCCTCCCATGTTTTATATTATAAAGTAAAAAGTGTAGTAATGGCCAAACGGACTGTTATAAACTTTTTAAAAACTGCATAAATATATACATTGTGCTCCCAGGTCCAGTTTTAGGAAATCAAAACTAGACCCGATGAAGCTGGGACGACATGGCATGTCATTTGCTTTGTGAGGTTTCATTAAGAGAGTTTTTTTTTCAGCCAATTCCTCCACAGATAATTGGTAACACAGGATGGTAAATATTGTACACCAGGCTGCCCCACACTAAGTACACTAGTGAGAATACAAAAAGTAACACTGATGTTTTTATCCCTTTTTATTTTTCTTTTTTTTCCTCTCTCACCGGTCCATATATTGTATTGGCACATTTTGTCCCTGCCACGCTCGTAAGTTCCAGATATGTTTGCCAAGGCTGTTAGAAAAGTCTGTTGCTTTAATCAGTGCAAAATACATCCCCTTCTCCTCCTTTCCAAGTTTGCATTTTTTCTCCACCTTCTTGACTCTTTACACTTCTGTCTGGAAGTCTCCTTCCTGGACATCTAAGGGTAAGTTGACACACTTCTCCCATTCTGCAGGCGTCATCTCCAGCGAGTCCTTGGTGTCAGAATCTAGTACATTCATAGTGGCGTAGTTCTGGTACTCACAGGCTGGATTGTAGCTCTCCCACGGGTTCTGTTTTGGCATTGCCTTGTCCTGCGAACACGGCCAACAGCAGGTCATGTTAGTAGCGTGACTTCCTTAGTAGGTTAAACAGCTACTTTTTATTCTAAACAGACTTTTTCAGTGAGGTCAGTACAATCAGGAGGGCATTTCATGAGCTTCTAGCATTGCTGATTAAAAATAATGAATTAATGCTGAGAGAAGCATCAAATAACAAAAAGAAAATGGTAGTGTATTAAATGAGAACATGCTTTCTAATAACATGGAGCAGATCTCTCCTTTCTTCAGCTCAGAAACTAGAGCACTGGATGTGCTGCATGTGTGAGCCATTTGTTCTTCTGAATGTGCTCTCATTGACAGTCCCAAAGACATTAGTGCAAATAAGGGAAAGAAGCTGCTCCCCATCAGGGAATATAAAATGAATACTAATGTTTGCTGCCAGCTCTGCAATAGAATCATTTAGGGGAAAAAAGTAAAATAGGGGAAGTAAGAAACTCGTTTTCGACAAAAAAAGGGTACTTGCACGGTAACTAGGCAACAGTTCTGCAGCTGCATGTACTGCAGAGGTGAGTGGAACTGGTGGTGCAATTCAAAGGCTAATATTTACAGTGCTGCAAAGTTTTGATACAGATACTTTTTCCCGTTTTTGTCACACCTGAATGACAGATAGCTCTCCAGGCCACACTGACCCTATATGATATATAATATAGACATTTTCAGAGAAAGGGCAAGTTATAATGATATGTAATATATATTTTTTGAAAAGTAGGGGCTTGGGGGGCACCAGACGAGTGATGAGCGCTATGACGCACAAGATCTTCAGGCTGCATCCATAATCTCTTTAAAGTATTTAGGAGCTTTTGCATGTGTATGTGGGAGGTTAACATCAGAGCTGCACGGTGGGGCAGTGGGTGGTCCGGGGTCTTTTTGCATGGAGTTTGCATGATCTCCTTGTGCATGCGTGGGCTCTCTCTGGGTACTCCGGCTTCCTCCCACAGTCCAAAAACACGACTGTTATCCTATTCTTAGATCGAAGCCTTCCCTGTGGTTCACTTGTGTCTAAAGACCAAAAAAATACTATCTAAAAATGTCTTAAAATAAGTGTATTTACAGATCATTTGAGCAGGTAGAGAAGATTATCTGCCAATGGAATAAGTATTTTAACCCTTATTATAAGATCAATAGATATATATTGCATATAATGTTAGTTATGTCTTTTCTGTTGGCAAAGTGTCTAACTTACCTGGTTAATTCAAGAAAAATTGCACTTCTTTTAATAAGATAAAACTTAGATTTAAATTTTTTGCAATGCTAACAAAAAAAAGGGGAATATTCTAACTTCGCAGCACTGCATCTAAGATATGTTTGAAAAAAGAATCCACCCAGTTCATCTGAGACAGATGGGTTTAGTGTGATGTCCCCATTGTCTACACATCCAGTCAGGAGTGGAGACAGATGGTGAGCCTTTTGGTTTGTGGCAAGGTCATGAGGTATTGCATAAATACCCTGACTTTTTAATGAAGTCGAGTTCTACCTCTCACATAGTTTCAGAGAGAGACTGGCCTTATTGGGCTAATACATACATGCTGATATAATAAATAATCTGCCATGCATTAATGAATAAAAAAATGATGGATTTGCTAAGAAGATAAATATGCATGTAAATAAAAGTGCATTTATGGCCTTGCATTGGAATTGATGCACTCCACTGTAGCAAAATTGCCAAAGGTTCTCATTTTATTTTGATATTCTTGAGATTCGCCTAGAGAAGACAAAGTTTTGTTGCTTTCAAGAGGCAGCCCCTATAATGATTATTAAATGCAGAAAGGCAAACTTTTGCTACATAAAAACTCATTTGCACAATAATACATAAATGTATCCTGCACCAAATGCCTAAATAGATTATTTGGATGTTGAATCTTTAACTAGCTGACAGCCACCCCCCTGGGTTTCCTGTTACTCACCATGCTGCCCATATTTGGTATGTCTCGAAATCGGTCCAGGGTTTGAAATTTCTGATTCAGTTCCTGGAACAGCTCCATGTGTCTTTTCCTGGTGTGCATGACTTTCTGCAATGGCAAGGGTTTTTGCTTTGGTATTGACAGCCAATAATGGAAATGCATCTTCCTCTCCACCCCCTCCACCTCTGATCAATTTGTTAGTGTCATGGTAGTTTTCTTAGAGGCCAAGTCTTAGAAAAAAAATGCTTTCCTCTGCATATACAACAATGACTGTCAAAATAAAGGAAACAGTGATAATTAAAGTTAAGTTTATGGGACACATGATGACTAAACATAGGTCATTTTTGCTATCATTTCTCATTTAGGGTTCTGTTGATGTAAAGGAGTCCTGGTGATCAAAATCTTGGCACAGCTCTTTCATTTAAAGTGTTTGTGTGCATCTAAGCTAAAACAAAATGCAACCAGAGCCAAAATAGCTGCCAGAAGCAACATGTTTCCCATGTTTTGACAGAGATTACAAAATATATATGCAGTAAAGCTTTGACAGTGCAAAAAGAAATATAAAAAATCTGCCAAAGGGGGGTTTGATTATGTACCTGCAAGCCAATATTCATTGCTGACCAATGATAAAATCAGATGTGAAATGTGCAAATGACTTTAAAAGCATACAGTTTGAAAATCAACATATAGCTAATGGATGAAGGAGATGGAGGAGGATAAAATGTTGATGAGAGCTACTGCCCTGTTTGTCAGCTGACAGCCTTGCTTTTACCTTAACTACACAGAAAGTCTATAAATCCTGATGAGTCAAGGCTGTACTACTCCAATAAGCTAAAGAGGCACAACGGACACTAGTAAATCAAATGACTAACACAACAGCAAAAACAGCCTTTTATGCATAAATAGCTGAGCACAACTTCAGAATAAATCTTTTTTTTTCTTACATACCTCAAAGTCCAGATCAGAGTATCTTGACTTTCTTCTCTGTCAGGACAAAAAAAAAGGGATTCAACTAATTAAATCATCTGCATATTTTACCAAAAAGATAAATACTTGACAAGTTGACACTCTGTTCTCTTTATGCTTAATCTAGTGAAAGTATATACCTCCAGGGAGCTCATTGATATTGTTGAGCCAGTGTCACTCCGAGAAAGGCCCCCGCTTTCCTCCATCTCTGCAAGGAAGTTCTTAACAGCTGTGCGAGGTTCAAAGGGCAGGGTTTGCATCTGCTCTGGAGCACTAGGATACTGGTGCTCCAGGTTCACATTCATGTGGTCCATGCCTGACGGGTTGATATTGAAGTCAGGACTTATCTTGTAATGCTTTAGCCTCTCATGGGGAAGCGTATCCATCCCAGCACTCATCTTGGGCTCCTCCTTAATGAGAGTAGGCAGTGTGACTGACCCAGACACTGCACCTGCAGAGGCACGAGGCATCACTATGTAGTCCGTCTCCATCATTTGACCCTGAACCGGATGGCCCTCCATGTCGTGACCGCCCATGTCGTGGTCACTCTGGCGCATGCCGTCATCTGTGCAAAGGTACACTGTACGCCTCATGTCCGCATTGCTCTCAGACATGCATTGGTCTTTCAGCTCCCCCATCCCTACTGGGATGTGCAGAGCTGAAGGCTGCTGGATTATCACTTTGGAGATGATGTTGCCTGGCAACGTGGAGTAGTTGAGGCCCTCAGGCACTTTCTCATCCTCCTCATCATTGAGGGAAATGCGGGAGAGGGTACCTGTTATGGTGGCTGCACGACACGAGCCCATATCCTTGTGGAGTGCTGGAGGGCAGAGCAATACAGGTATTAGTTAGTCTTCTTAATGAAAGGACCTTTAATGTTTTAAACATTGTAGAATAAGAACAAAGAACAAGACAATTTAAACACATTCAAACAATCCTCAAGGGAGGTTGTTCTGTTGAGTGGAAACTGTAATCATAGAATGAGTAACTGTGAAAATACTCAGAGTGTGACATAACACTAAATACAAAAGAATGCAACAGCAAACAGTGAAGTCTTAAGAGACTTCTGCTGTAAAAAAAAAAAGACAGCATGGTTTTAATCTCTCCCAGAAATCCCCTTATCTGCAAAAAGGTAACTTAGTGATTGGAGATGAATGCTATAAATTATTTTCCTGCAAACGCACCTATGATATATGATAGACAGACAGACAGACAGACAGACAGACAGACAGACAGACAGACAGACAGACCAACCAATAGATATATGTTAGTTTTAAGACTTTTATATAAACAACTAAAAATGTAACAGCCTTTTATTCAGCCCCGGTAAATCAATACTCTATAACACAAGATTTTACTCCAAATGCCACAGCAACTCTTTTGTGTTTGTATATCAGCTTATAGAATGTGGCCTTAGTCTATTTTTTCATTTGGAAAAGCTCGGCTTAGTCCAAATCAATGGAAAGCATATCTGAACATCAATTGTAAAATCTTGCAATAGATTTACTTTTGGACTTAGGCCTGAACTTTAGCTGGGCCATTCAAACATGAATACGTTTTGATCTAAATCAGGTGATTACGAATTTGGCTGGGTCAGCAGGGTCAGTCTGCAGAAAAGTGCACCTGTGTCCCAATCTCAAATCTTCAGCAGCTTGTAAAGGTTTTACTCCTAAAACTCTGACCAGCTTTTCTTGTCCCTTCTAAAGAAATACATCCGCCCAATGGGATGCTGCCATGACCATATTTCATTGTGGGTATATTACATTTAGTACACTGAAGTGTTAAATTTCATCCTCACAAAACATTCTGAATGTAAGTCTAACAAAGATTTTATGCAAACTATTTATTTTACCATTAAATGTAAATTATGATTAATAATAATAAGACAATGTTCTTTTACTAGAGTTGAGGGTTTCTGTAGCTCCTTGCTCGGATGAATCTTCTCCAAGTCTACAGCCATGTCTTGGTGGATTTGCAGTTGTGCCAACCCCCCCCATCTATTTTTAGCTAATGGATTGAACAGTGGGTGGCATGTTGGTGTAATTTGTATCACTGTTGCCTTGCAGCAACAAGGTCCTGCATTCAAATCCTATTCTAGGATATTTTTGCACATAGTTTGCATGTTCTCCCCATGCATGTGTCCAAAAAATATTACTCTCAAGTTAACTGTTTACTCTAAATTGCTCTTAGGTTTATGTGTATGGTTGTGTGTCTCTATGCTGCATGTCTAAGGTGTGGCATGCCTTTTGCCCATACTGTATATTTCAGTAGATAGACGAACCTGATGAACAAGCGTGAAAGACAGATTGATATTCCAAAGCTTAGGTTTTAACATATCCTTGCTATACATTTCTCTGCAAACTTAGCTCTGAGCTGTCTGCTGTGTTCCTTGTCTTTCATGATGTTTATTAACTAATGTACCCCTTAACCTCTTAAACTTTGCATAACAAAGAAAAACTTTTGAAAGGAGTTGACTAGAGTGGATATGCCTAGATTTATGAGACCAAAGAATGCTGAATACCTATAGATGTTTATGTCTGTCACATTAAATCCAAATGTATGTATTGAGAATATCTGAAAATCCAAGGGGCACTAATTCATTCAGCCTTCCATAACCATTCAAGTAACACATTTTATTCTGAAAGATACAATTGTTATCTCTATATATAACGATAGAGATACATCCTGCAGACTGAGTGACTTATCTGAACAATTGACTTCTTTTTGACATATTTCCTTTGGTCTCAGATTTAGTCATGATTTATAAATGACACCTGTCAGCTCAGCCCTTTGCTACCAGGTACGTTGCTTCCACTTTAGCTTGCAAGACGGTATGGTGTAATCAAAGCAGACAGCTTCTTTAGTTTCTGTGTCTCTCTGGGCTTTGAATAATGGTCAGTTTAGTAATTCATTTAAGATCCATTTTGGATGTGCCCTTCAAAGGTTTAGAGGAGGCTGCAGACAGACAAAGCTTTAGTCCAGTGAAAGCTGCTATTCCTGCTAATGTTATGTTATTTTCAACAGTTATATCATGTATCCCTTTTCTATGACATACAAATGAAATGACATCAATAATCTCCAAAATTATAGAAGTACTGAAAAAATGTGCAGCTCTTTCTCTGATGTTTTTATCTCATGTATTCAGAACTGTGAACAGTTGCTGTTGGGTATGTTGTTTTTTTGTTTTTTAATCAGAGTTACTTTATGTTATTTTTTATACTGTTTATATCTTTTTTTAACTGGAGTAAGGGAAATTGTGTTATTAGGAAACCATATGTTCCGTACCTGATCGGCAGGCGATGTCCACATCTTTCTCAAAGTCTGTCTGTAGAAACAGGAAAGTTAGTTTTACATTTCACCTCATATGTTGTAGTTTTTGTAAACAGTGTCTATGCAATTATTTTAACATAATTTATAATGCTTTACATTAAATGTATATTTATGCAAAGAATTTGGAAAAAAAAACTGTGACATTAAAATGTTGGCTCATTATCAAAGCACATTACAGAAAAATCAAAAACAAAAACTGCTCCCAATATAAAAATTAAATTAAAGCATTCATTAAATAAATTGAATCGTGTTCAGTTAAACTTTTCCTCCTTTTAAAATAACATTTGAGCCTTTGAGGTACAGTATAAGCTGATAGCCTGCTGTTCTTTTCTGTAAAACATTTTTTCTTTTCTTTTCAGGAGAATATTACTAAAAACTGACCCTGAGAAACCAATAAGATCTGTGTTATTATCGTTTTCTTTATCTTTTATTTAATCATAAACCCAAAAATGAACATTTTTAGGACCCTTAGCTGAACACAAAAATGTTTCCATAGATAGGCAGTATGTAAATGCAATGCACACAGGATTTTGAATTGTTTATATAGGCTAAAAATGACCTGGTTGGCAGGACAAGGTGGAGATAGTCATGCTCTCTTTTTTCATGTTACAGATAGCCAAACTAATAAAACTAGAGGTTTTTATTTTTTATTTTGGTGCGGTAAATCAATATAGATGTTGTTTCAAATGGGGGATAAAAAAACATGTAGCTTTTCTGCTATATATCAACAAAAATAGGAAAGACAACAAATGCTGCTAAAGCAGCTGCAAATATTTCACGCTTACTGTTACCAAACTGGATGTACCCTGCCACTACACCACTCTGCTAATGTGAAAACTGTTCCACAGCGGGATATGAGAATCCTAATGGCAGATCATTGCTTTGAGTCGCCAGTGGCAGGACTGAACAACATGAAAATACTGGTGTCCTATTTCAAAGGCCAGGCAGGTAGCAGACCCCTGTTAGTCCATGAAAAGAAAACAGAGCTGTTCTATAGAAAGGAACGTTAAATAAAAAAAATAGGAACAATTGGGACTTGGGGTCTTTAAAAAGAAAAAAAACTAACACCTTTTAATCAGATGTTCAGAGATTTTATGTTGTATGGTACTTTGGGTTGTAAAAAGGTTGGTTTAGTTAAATCTAAGGGAAATAATACTCTGTGTCAAGTTAAAACTCAAAGAAATTACCACAATAATACAATAGAAGTACAAAACTAAAGTACCGGTAGGCTAAACGAAGATTTGTAAAGAGCGTAAGGAACAGTTTATGAGTTTTCTTGAAAAAAAAAACAAAAAAAAAACCAAGGGAATCATTTGTCTGGCTCAAATATCTAATTTCTAGTTTCTAATGAGAGAGGTAACAGGGTGACTATGCCTACCATTATCTGAGCATGCCCATTAGGGAAGGTTCCTGTTGCATCACCACTGATTGGATCTTGACAGTTTCTAAGCCGACATCTAAAAGCATCTTGGACCTAAACACAAGAGGAATTTCAATTTGTATTAAATGTTATAAATAGTTTCATGAGGTAAGGGGGGGGGGGGGTTGAAAGGGGGCTCTACCTCTCTCCGCAAGATACAGTGCACCATGACAATGACAAAACCCTGCAAGGAGTCAAAGACGGCAAATAGGATCTGGAAAAGGATAGAGCGCTTGTCCGTCATGGCGAGCACGGCAGACATCCAGGTCAAAGCCAGCAGAGGTAGGACGACACAGGAGCTCCACAACGATGCCCTGGAAGAAGAGAGAAAGGATTTTGTGCCAGAGACAAACTACAGTAGATAAGGTCTGGAGAGTTGAGTTAAATCTCCATGACGACCTCTTTCCTCCAGAATGATGGCGAGGCTTTGCTCGGCATACTGATGTTTATGTAAGCTCATTTCAAAAGCCCTTCCACACTAGTTCTGATGTACCATGGATGCATTTGGAAACTGAATTTACCCTACAGTGGATACCCTGTACATAAAGAAACTCCTGCAGCATTGTTTTATTGATTCACAGGCACTGACAGGCACTTACATCGCATTGCTAGCTGTTGTTGCTGATAAAGCAGTTGTTGATACAACACCGCATTTGGCACACTTGAGAGTTAATCCTGTATGCGGCTCACTCATCTGTCTGTGGGACACAAGAGACATTGGGACAACATCATGACAAACAATGCCAACATCCACCTGACTGCACATTTCCTCCATCATGCTAACAACAGGGACTATGACAAAGTGGTTGTTAATATCGTTTTCATTTTTATCCTGGACTCATTCTGACAAAGATATAAAACTAAATTTTCCTCCCAAGAGAGAGCTAACCTCCTTATGCCTCTGTTTCTTAACATTTTTTTTTTTACATAAAAAGTAGGTGCAGATTTGCATGTGTACATGAAATATATCCACGCATACTGAATGCAGTCATATTAAAAATAGAAAACATATAATCATTTATTTAGGCCTTTATTCCTGAAAATCGAGATGACTTTCTGATTAAATCCAATAAAATATAGATTTTTATTGGAATATTACATCAGATTAATAAAAATAAATTAAATGGAAATTATATTTAAACCTGCATGAAGGTTGCTATTTTCAACTGGTTATTTTTATCTGGCAATCCTCATATTAACACATGTTTATTTTTTTTAATATGACTGCACTTTGCAAAATAATCATATTGAAAAATGAAGAAGAAAATCAGGTACTAACAAGGATGTGCTGTCATACCCTGCACGATGCTTCAGCTTCTTGTCCAGGATTCCATCTCTGGACACTAACTTATTAAACACCAATATACCAATCACCATGTTGACCTGTTGACAGAGGGGATAGCAGAAAATTCAGATTAAAAAAAATATCCCACTCTAAAAGATCTCCCTGTCATTTTGAGCAAATGACACCCACAAACTCCCATGTATTTCGGTCAAATTTTACTGATAAGATAAACACAAAGCAGAACATAGTTTTGAAAGAAAATCTAAATTAGACATAAATATGTAATCATCTCTCTAAGAATTTGCCTTAAAATTTGCATCATTTAAATTTGGTCATTCAACTTGAGGTGATTCCAGCTTTCCTGTGAAGGCCTTTGCTATTGAATGCATCACCAAGAAGACAGAAAAAAAAACAATGCTAAAGATGTGGAGAGGGCTCAGCAGGGTAATGTATTCCAAGTATTGGGAAAAAAAAATCATGCATCAATTTTAGATCATCATTTGAAAATTAAAATAGTATGTCATGACCTCAGTCAATCATTGTAAACTGAAAGGTCAGGTACAGGTGCTGGTCATAAAATTAGAATATCATGAAAAAGTAGATTGATTTCAGTAATTCCATTTAAAAAGTGAAACTTGTATATTATATTCATATATTACATACAAACTCATATATTTCAGATGTTTATTTTGTTTAATTTTGATGATTACAAATGACAACAAATGAAAATCTCAAATTCATCATATCAGAAAATTAGAATATTACTGAAGACCAATAAAAACAAAGGATTTATAGAAATGTTGGCCAACTGAAAAGTATGAACATGAAAAGTATGAGCATGTACAGCACTCAGTATTTAGTTGGGCCTCCTTTGGCCTGTATTACTGCAGCAATGCGGCGTGGCATGGAGTCGATCAGTCTGTGGCACTGCTCAGGTGTTATGATAGCCCAGGTTGCTCTAATAGTGGCTTTTAGCTCTTCTGAATTGTTGGGTCTAGTGTATTGCATCTTCTTCTTCACAATACCCCATAGATTTTCTATGGGGTTAAGGTCAGGAGAGTTTGCTGGCCAATTAAGAACAGGGATACCATGGTCCTTCAACCAGGTACTGGTAGCTTTGGCACTATGTGCAGGTGCCAAGTCCTGTTGGAAAATGAAATCTGCATCTCCAAAAAGTTGGTCAGCTGCAGGAAGCATGAAGTGCTCTAAAACTTCCTGGTATGTGGCTGCGTTGACCCTGGACCTCAGAAAACACAATGGACCAACACCAGCAGATGACATGGCACCCCAAACCATCACTGACTGTGGAAACTTTACACTGGACTTCAAGCAACGTGGATGAAGTGCATCTCTTCTTTTCCTCCAGACTCTGGGACCTTGATTTCCAAAGGAAATGCAAAATTTACTTTCATCAGAGAACATGACTTTGGACCACTCACCAGCAGTCCAGTCCTGTTTCTCTTTAGCCCAGGCAAGACGCTTCTGACGCTGTCTGTGGTTCAAGAGTGGCTTGACACAAGGAATGCGACAGCAGAAACCCATGTCTTTCATACGTCTGTGTGTGGTGGTTCTTGAAGCACTCACTCCAGCTGCAGTCCACTCTTTGTGAATCTCCCCCACATTTTTGAATGGGTTTTGTTTCACAATCCTCTCCAGGGTGCGGTTATCTCTCTTGCTTGTACACTTTTTTCGACCACATCTTTTCCTTCCCTTCGCCTCTTTATTAATGTGCTTGGACACTGAGCTCTGTGAACAGCCAGCCTCTTTAGCGATGACCTTTTGTGTCTTGCCCTCCTTGTGCAAGGTGTCGATGGTCGTCTTTTGGACAACTGTCAAGTCAGCAGTCTTCCCCATGATTGTGTAGCCTATAGAACTAGACTGAAAGACCATTTAAAGGCTTTTGCAGGTGGTTTGAGTTAATTAGCTGATTAGAGTGTGGCACCAGGGGCCATCAATTTTGAACCTTTTCACAATATTCTAATTTTCTGATATGATGAATTTGAGATTTTCATTTGTTGTCATTTGTAATCATCAAAATTAAACAAAATAAACATCTGAAATATATGAGTTTGTATGTAATGTATGAATATAATATACAAGTTTCACTTTTTAAATGGAATTACTGAAATCAATCTACTTTTTCATGATATTCTAATTTTATGACCAGCACCTGTAAAGATATTCATAAAGGCAGAAATGAAACCCATGGATACTCTAGAGCAACTGAAGTTGCTGAAGTGGGAAGTTTTTGCCACCCTAAGGTGTGGCAAAAAGATCATTTTGTTGAAAGAAATTCAAAGTCATGAGTAACCTTTTGCCAGAACCCTTATAGAGTGCATGCTACGCGCTGTAGTCAGAATCCGTTTAGCCTGTGTGTAAATCAACACAGGTGGTTAGAAACTTAAGATGGTGCATCAATATGAACACATCAGGTTATAGGATAGGAAAACGGACTCAACAAACTTAAGGCAAATAAATATTACGCCTTGTAGCAAGACAGCTGCCCGAAACCTACAAAGGTGAAACTGAATATTTAGATCAAAGCACATTCGGATGTTAGCATGACCCAAACAAAGTTCAGACCTGAACTGAACTGAGAGTCTTTGAAAAAACTTGAAAACATTTTATGGCTGGACTTCAGCTAGTTTGCAGACAATAAACCCAAAATAGTTCTAACACTAAACCGAAATCTTCATTGAAAAGGGATTTGAAAAATCTTTGAACCAGGGAGGCAAAACCAACTGTGCTTTACTTTTCTTTTTCTTTTTTTTTTTATTTGCAATACCTTTAAATGCTGAGTAAAATGTTACCTCACCTTCACAATGATGCTCTGCTTTGTGGTAATCTAAAAATATACTGCTTATGGTTGGAACATGAAAAAATCTGAAAAAAGGTATGAATACGTTTTCATTCTTCTAAAAGGCAATATGTTCCGACATATTAACAGAGATGCCAATTATTTTAAATATTTGACAATAAAATAAAGTCAGTATGAATTATTAGGAATATTGGATTTGGCTGCTGGAAGAAGAAATGGAATTAAATTATCAGTACTGCTATAACTTGATAACTGTATGGCATGATATTCTCACTACAGATGGTCAAACGGGAGCTTGTGTCCTTCTAACGTTCATCACAAAGAAAAGTACAGCCAAACAAAAACTTCAGGGATTTTTTTTTTTTTACTTGTAACTAGAATAATTTAGTTATTTTCATATTCCGTAAAAGAATGGAGAGCCGACGGTGAAAAATGCCATTACGAATCTGCTGTCTTGGTGATTTAGCAATCTGGATAATGACCAGACTTCTGGGAATTTCCTAATTACCAGTCTGCAAATATAGAGCAATTACATTTCCATCCTATATAATATGCTGGGCAAATCTAAATTATAAATACTTAATAATTCTCATAGTTACATGAAAGACTATCATGTGATAAATACAAATGGATTATTTGAGCCTGATGGGATGCTTATTACTTAAACTTTGAAAAAAAAAACATACTGTAGCTAAAAAGCATCATATTAAATCTTGATTTAATATGATGCATCATTGCAAACGATAATGCTTTTCATTGCTAATTAAATTATTCATGAAGTATTACATTTTTTTCTTACATTTTAGATACACTGTATCGTATAAAAGAGAAGTGTGGGATAAAAAGTAGACATCGGTAACCAAGACATACCAAAACAACAGCTGCTGCAGGTCCAACGAAGGCATACAGGAGCCCACCCTCTAAGGAGAGCCAACAGCTGTGGGGGAAACAAGGAAAAAAACAATTAACTCCCACAACAGCATTAACTTCTACGTTAATGGTGCACAAACACACTATTGTTATTTTGCCCAATTGTCAGAGGAGAGGTGCCATATGCTGTTACTCCACACCCAAAGTTTCACAGAGCAATAAAATGCTAAGGAGATTTTAAGCAGTGTTTATGCGTTTGGTTTCCAGCAGAGTGGCAGCTCACATGAAATTGGGGTCTTGCTGTGCTATTTTGAAATTTGATGAAGTTAATGGAGTTTAGTTTATGGCTTTATTTAGAATAAGTAAGCAAATGTAGAAGAATTTGATCATTATTCTTAAAGGGGCATTGCCATTTTATATGTCAATACAAAAAAGTCCAAAAACGTGTTTTGATAGTTCTTTGTGAGCCTAAATAGAATTTCAACACTAGTTGCAATGAGCAGACATAAACAGATATGTGCACTATCTGCTGGTAGTACTGTGGGGCTACCAAAAAAGCTAGATGGTGACAACTGATGCTGCTAATTAATAGAGCTGACTTGCAGAAAGGCAATGTTTTTTTGTGGTCGAAGATCACCCAATATAGATTTATATAATAAGCTAACCTACAGCATCACTAAGATCTAGTGAGTCCTTTCCAGAGCCTCATATCACAATATTGAGGAAAATGAAATATCCTGTTCGTACCAAATGCAAACAGATACAAAGCATCAAAGTAGGACAGTTCAATAAAAAATAAGTAATTGGATAAGACATATGACTATGTATGTACTGGGGAAATAGCATTTCCCCAGTTTGAATTATTGATGAGCCCTCCACTCCTAAAACTCCACTCCTTGCTCTATTCATTTAACTCAATTAATCAATCTTTGTTCATAATGTTCATAATATTGTTTGTACAGTAGAGACTAAGAATAGCATTGCTATGAGTAGTATCAGTATTAATAAGGATGTCTACTCATACATCTGCAGTGACATCTGAATGCTACAGCTTTAGCTTAAGCTTCAGTCAAACTGAGCAGGAGCAAAACGTAACACTCAGAAAAAACAAATGATATGCCAGCAGAACACAGTCTATACAGGCAAACCTTTATGTATGTGTTGGAGTGAGCTACTGGCATATGAACTAAAAAAATATTATATAACATGACTAAGCCGCTTTGAGTGTTTCCATGAACCCAGGGTGTTGGTGTGCAGAATTTTAAAGAAACATGGAAATAAAAAACAAAAACTTACTATAAGGGCGTCCCGTAGCCCTTTGTTTTAGTGAATCCCATTGAAATTGCGACAACTAAAGCTGGTAACCCTTTAAAAGACAAAACATTTAATAGTTACTTAAGCAGTTAAGGTCACAACAACAAATAAACTCTGAAAAAAGAACAAAGTCTATGTACCTTCCATTCATTAAACAAAGTTTAGCTAAAGTAATTCCTTCAGAGACCACAGCCTGAGGCTATGCAGACATCTGAGAGTATGTGATCAGCTATACTGCATATTTCATCATTTAACTTGTGTAGTAAAAAGTTCCATTCAGAGGGGATGAAAAAATAGCTGCATGGTGCTTTAACAAAATGGCAGCAGAGCATTGCAAACAGGAAGCCATGTACAGTAGCTATATTTCATCACTGTCTTGTGAATCGCCCCCCACACACACACAAAAGCACACACACACAGTAGGAATAGAGCTTTTTTGCTATGTGGCTCCTCATTATAGATCAGTGTAATTGATTCAGTCTTCACTATTGTGTGCTCTGAATATTAAAGCGTTTCCTCCCTGAGTGGCGCGGGCAGGTGCTATTGATGTAATCAGTTTCCTGGAGGCACGAGCCAAAGACCCCGAGGCCATCCTGTGCCTCTCTGCAGTGCTGAAGAGGTAAAGTGTGCTGAGTGCTCACAAGCACACTATAAATCAAAAGGTAGCAACAGCTCGGTGCGGGTTGCTGTACTGAAGCCGGCTGAATTAAGATTCCAACGTAAATCTTTGGGCAGCATGTTGCTTCATAGATCAGCTGTGTTCATATCAGGTTCACCTGGTTTATTTCATTCAAAAAAATGTTTTACTTTCTAGAAACTGTATTTGCATGCATTCATTTTTTTCATGTTTTCTCAATTTTTACTTGCATATGAGTTGTTTATTGACAAAATGACTGCTATGGTTTTAAACAAGAGAAATGCAAGTTATAGTGGAACAGCCTTTGTCCATGTTTTCCAGCAAGCAGTGGCACTGCAATGACTAAGAGAGCCTTGTTTGTTGCTAGGTAACAAGAAGAATGAGAGTGGGCTCTTCATAATCAGATTGATTTTTTTTTCTTTTAAGTAGAGATTTCTCTTATAGTCTGAAAGAAGCAGCTAATCGGACATAGGATTCAGACTGACATTGATCACATGAAGGAGAAATCTTGCATTTTGATGCAGAGGATTTGGAATTATTAATACATGTATGTGTGTGCTGGTATTTTGCATATCATTATTTTATCATTTTCTGCCATATTGTCCTTTTTGAACAACAGCATTTATTTTATCAAATGTAAATCATAAATAAGAAAATTTACCCCATACTTAATCCTGCTTTAACATTCGCTTTTTATACCTTTTATATGTTTCAACCCCAAACTTTATTTTGCTCCAATATACTGCAACTTATTGGTTACACAACAAATATTTTACAAGAAATAAAGGTAGAAGAAAACGGCTATATATCCCCTCCCAAACACGTTACACTCTCTGCCCAAGGCCGGTCTATTTATCCAGTCCTCAGAGAGCTTGACTGATGCACAAAAGAATCTCAACAAAGAGGCTGACAGAATGAAGATCCAGCCACCCTATAGAAACGACGAGAGCAGCAAACTGAAAAGATGTACAGTTTGCTGTGTAAAGACACCTTGCCGAGAGCTACTTTGAGAAAATGGCAGCTGCGAAAAGTGACGGGAGCAGTTTGCTGAATCGAGCCACTCACTCACCCCAGCCAAGACACAGGAAACGCTTCCGGATGAGCCTGGTGCGAACCTTCCCTGTCACTGCCATGTATGACTGCCAGGCTTCTGTGAGGACCCAGCAGAAGGATGCCAGAAAGAAGAAGTGCAGGAAGGCAGTTGTCATGATGCACACACCCTGTTGATCGAAGAGGAAAAAAAGAGTCAGATTTTTTTTTTTATGATTGTGGAATACCCCTAATTGCGTCCATATATGCACACTATAATGCAACTCAGACATTGCTGAAACTTTAAAAGTTGATACCTTCCTCAAATATACATGTAAACCAAGACATTCCTTCCAAATATATGGCAAAAATATACTATATGGCACAATGATATCCCTTCCCCTCATGGATGAGGATTTATAGCCGTGGTAAATTTGGTATAGTGATGTCATTTGACTACAGAGTATGTTCAGGTTTTGGATGGCATATTCAAAGCTTGGTTGGGTGATCTTTTTTCTGCTGTCTCTGGTTTTACTTTTAGCAATACCCCAGAGACTGTGGGATGTAAATCATGCAGTTTCCTGGTCAAAACAACATGGTGATACCATGGCAATTCAGTATGGCTACTGTTGGCAGTGTGCGCAGTTGCCAAGTCCTGCTAGAAAATGAAGTCAAGGTTATCAGCAAGTATTTCAGCAGAAGAGGGAATGGCATGCTCCTATATTTATTGGTGGACAGCTGTGCTGACTTTGGACTAAAGAAATCATGGTGTGCCAACACCAGTTACTGGCATGACCCCACATAGTACCACAGGCTCTGGAAACATCCCTCTGGATCCAAAGCAACTTAGAATCTCTGCCCTTCCTCCTTATCTCCACCCTCTGGGGCCCAGCCTTTCAAATGTAACCCGAAATCTATTTTCATCTAAAAAGAGGACTATGCACACAGGAGCAAAAGTCATTTCTGCCTCTAGACCCAGGCAAGACAACATTGGCATTGTTTCTGCTTAGGAAGTGTCCGCACATAAAGAATACAACATATCTTTGCTATGGCCTGGTTATGACCCCAGATGCAGACTATACTTGTTACTCTAAAACTGGCTTTAAAACCATCTCAAGAATGTTTCTCTCTTGTTTTTCTCTGTTATTTGTTTTTACCATTTATTTGTGGGTTCGTAGGTTCATCCATATTTCCATCCAAAATGTCTGTTAATGGCTGCCCGTTGGACAGCTGTCAAGTGGGCAACATTCCTTTATATTATGCTGGCCTCAAAATACAATCTTTGAATTGAAAAACCTTTTTATTACTCTCAAGAGATTCTCTCAGAATCTGAGCACTAGTGAGGCAACGGAGGCAGTTTTACTCAAATCCCAACAAGATCAGCTGGCATAAGGAATAGCATAGCATTCTTTTGCACTAACACTCATTAGTATGCTAAGGATTCCACCTGGAGGCATGTGAGCCAAGGTCAAGTATTTCACACTGACATGAGGTGGGGCTACAACAATGCTAAAAAGAAAAAGAGTATGTGCCTTAAGTGAAAGATCCATTACTTGACAATATAGCAAGGCTATCTATGAGTGAGTAGGACCAAAATGTGTATATAAACTTGTAAAGAACATTGGGTAGGATTAATGACTAAGCAAAAAACTTACAAAGCAATAAAGATGGAGAAAGGGGAGGAACCAATAATGAAAGAAGAAAACCAGAGAGGTGGAATGCAGAGGAAAGCGTTGGGGATTGATAATGGATGCAGGTGTGCTTTATAGTGAACAGCTGTGAACAAGCAAAACAAGGACACCAAGGGAAGGTAAACACTTTAACAGAGAAGGACATTATCTATAGAGGAAGAACTATTTTAATTCTCACTTTTTAGTAAAACTGGAGTATAAAAAAGAAAGGGAATACTTTTTTGTTTATGCTTTATGAAAAAAATACACTTGAAAAGTGCACAGTAGCATTCATCTGTTTAAATTCCCCTTTGATCACACAGAATGTAGGATTTTAATAAACTTGGAAAACATTGTATTGCTTTATTTTAACTCTACAGCTATGCTCAATTTTGGGTTCATCTATCAAATGTTTGACTTGCTCATCAGACTTGGCAAAGTTTTTATTCTGAACTTCCTTCCTGCCAAAACCTGGATTCTAACCCAGGCCAGTCCCATTCATGGTAGTCAGAGACTTAAAGCACAGCACCATGGCTGCCACTGTGAGATTATCAAATGTTAGGGGGGCCAAAATAATATACACTATATTGCCAAAAGTATTTGCTCACCTGCCTTGACTCACATATGAGCTTAAGTGACATCCCGTTCCTAATCCATAGGGTTCAATATGACGTCGGTCCACCCTTTGCAGCTAGAACAGCTTCAACTCTTCTGGGAAGGCTGTCCACAAGGTTTAGGAGTGTGTTTATGGGAATTTTTGACCATTCTTCCAGAAGCGCATTTGTGAGGTTGCACACTGATGTTGGACGAGAAGGCCTGGCTCTCAGTCTCCGCTCTAATTCATCCCAAAGGTGTTCTATCGGGTTGAGGTCAGGACTCTGTGCAGGCCAGTCAAGTTCATCCACACCAGACTCTGTCATCCATGTCTTTATGGACCTTGCTTTGTGCACTGGTGCACAGTCATGTTGGAAGAGGAAGGGGCCAGCTCCAAACTGTTCCCACAAAGTTGGGAGCATGGAATTGTCCAAAATGTCTTGGGATGCTGAAGCATTCAGAGTTCCTTTCACTGGAACTAAGGGGCCAAGCCCAGCTCCTGAAAAACAACCCCACACCATAATCCCCCCTCCAACAAACTTTACACTTGGCACAATGCAGTCAGACAAGTACCGTTCTCCTGGCAACCGCCAAACCCAGACCCGTCCATCAGATTGCCAGATGGAGAAGCGCGATTCGTCACTCCAGAGAACGCGTCTCCACTGCTCTAGAGTCCAGTGGCGGCGTGCTTTACACCACCGCATCCGACGCTTTGCATTGCACTTGGTGATGTATGGCTTGGATGCAGCTGCTCGACCATGGAAACCCATTCCATGAAGCTCTCTGCGCACTGTTCTTGAGCTAATCTGAAGGCCACATGAAGTTTGGAGGTCTGTAGTGATTGACTCTGCAGAAAGTTGGCGACCTCTTCGCACTATGCGCGTCAGCATCCGCTGACCCCGCTCCGTCAGTTTACGTGGCCTACCACTTCGTGGCTGAGTTGCTGTCGTTCCCAAACACTTCCATTTTCTTATAATACAGCTGACAGTTGACTGTGGAATATTTAGGAGCGAGGAAATTTCACGACTGGATTTGTTGCACAGGTGGCATCCTATCACAGTTCCACGCTGGAATTCACTGAGCTCCTGAGAGCGACCCATTCTTTCACAAATGTTTGTAAAAACAGTCTGCATGCCTAGGTGCTTGAATTTATACACCTGTGGCCATGGAAGTGATTGGAACACCTGATTCCAATAATTTGGATGGGTGAGCAAATACTTTTGGCAATATAGTGTATAAACAAAGATTGAAAGGGGTAGGAAAGACACCTTGCTACTGTTCGTTTCATTTGTTGTCATTTTGGATATACAAATACTCGCCTTTGTAATCTATAAATACCAATACACCTAAACTAACAAACATGCTTTTGTAATTATTATGCTATATTTAAGGATATGTAAATTCTGGAATATACAAAAATTCTATTTGTGTATATTTTTAGCTTGGTGAACTCCAAAAACTATATATTTTAAAAATATGTTAAATGATGAGCCCCAATAACAACAGATCCATCATGGTATTGCATATTCCCTAAATGTAGGGACATCATCTCCATAAACAAGAAGTCCAAAACAGCCTTTATTAGAAATAAAGATTATGAAGTTATCACCAATCAGGTCCAGTAAGAAAAACCCTGAAAAATGTGATGTCATCTTTCTGTTTGTTGATTTTTGGGTAACAAACAGACAAAAGGAAGTGAGACCTTGTTTGGTTTGGTTACTATTCTCCCTGCAGACTTACCCCTATAGCTACACTATATTGCCAAAAGTATTTGCTCACCCATCCAAATTATTGGAATCAGGTGTTCCAATCACTTCCATGGCCACAGGTGTATAAATTCAAGCACCTAGGCATGCAGACTGTTTTTACAAACATTTGTGAAAGAATGGGTCGCTCTCAGGAGCTCAGTGAATTCCAGCGTGGAACTGTGATAGGATGCCACCTGTGCAACAAATCCAGTCGTGAAATTTCCTCGCTCCTAAATATTCCACAGTCAACTGTCAGCTGTATTATAAGAAAATGGAAGTGTTTGGGAACGACAGCAACTCAGCCACGAAGTGGTAGGCCACGTAAACTGACGGAGCGGGGTCAGCGGATGCTGACGCGCATAGTGCGAAGAGGTCGCCAACTTTCTGCAGAGTCAATCACTACAGACCTCCAAACTTCATGTGGCCTTCAGATTAGCTCAAGAACAGTGCGCAGAGAGCTTCATGGAATGGGTTTCCATGGTCGAGCAGCTGCATCCAAGCCATACATCACCAAGTGCAATGCAAAGCGTCGGATGCGGTGGTGTAAAGCACGCCGCCACTGGACTCTAGAGCAGTGGAGACGCGTTCTCTGGAGTGACGAATCGCGCTTCTCCATCTGGCAATCTGATGGACGGGTCTGGGTTTGGCGGTTGCCAGGAGAACGGTACTTGTCTGACTGCATTGTGCCAAGTGTAAAGTTTGTTGGAGGGGGGATTATGGTGTGGGGTTGTTTTTCAGGAGCTGGGCTTGGCCCCTTAGTTCCAGTGAAAGGAACTCTGAATGCTTCAGCATCCCAAGACATTTTGGACAATTCCATGCTCCCAACTTTGTGGGAACAGTTTGGAGCTGGCCCCTTCCTCTTCCAACATGACTGTGCACCAGTGCACAAAGCAAGGTCCATAAAGACATGGATGACAGAGTCTGGTGTGGATGAACTTGACTGGCCTGCACAGAGTCCTGACCTCAACCCGATAGAACACCTTTGGGATGAATTAGAGCGGAGACTGAGAGCCAGGCCTTCTCGTCCAACATCAGTGTGCAACCTCACAAATGCGCTTCTGGAAGAATGGTCAAAAATTCCCATAAACACACTCCTAAACCTTGTGGACAGCCTTCCCAGAAGAGTTGAAGCTGTTCTAGCTGCAAAGGGTGGACCGACGTCATATTGAACCCTATGGA